TGGAGTCCCCTTGCCCAGATTTTCTGGTTAGTGATTAGCAAAAGAAAAATTCAGCCAGTAAGTGCTACGAAAACAAAGTGGCACGGCCACTTCCTTTCCAGAGTAGGCCTAGCTGAAAACAAAAACAAAAACAAAAACAAAACACAAAAAAAATACAAAACAAACAACGCGTGATGCTGGCCTGTATCTATATGCAGCCAGCTACAGCCTGGCAGGTCAGCTTGTGTAGAAATCAGAGAGATAGCAGGGAGAAATGAGATGACATGGGTGAGGAAACATGAAAGTAACACTTGATTTTTGGTGTCCAATTATGCGTTCATTTGGTACTGACTTCCAAAGCTCGGATTGTGGCCATCGTGTGACCACACATCTCAGGGTGGCTCAGCCGCTGTGAGGCACTGGACACCGCAATGAAGGTTACCAACACTTCAGCCCTTGAGTGGTCTGTGTTATAAAAGGAATTGATGAAGACCCAGTGAGTATTCAAGTAGCTCTGCACAGTGGCTCCACCAGCCCCATTGTGCTTGTGTCCAGGCCCCCAGCCAGCCACCTTATCTTGGAAGCAGCCAGAGCTGAGTTCAAGGCATTGCATGGTGAAGGTTTCCATGACACGTCTTTGTAGGTAGCTCTTACCCCTAAGCCCTTTGTTCACTGCTGTTAGTCATGGCAGACGGTCGGTCTGGAATCCCTAGAGGAAAAGGAGAGCACGCCACGCCTCCCAGTGAGCACGCCACTCCGGCACGGCCCGCGGAGGCAGCGGAGGCTGCCTTGGCAGGTCGCTTCTTGAGAAGTGGGCAGTCCCAAAACAGACAGGCGGGGCGGATGAGGCTGCTGAGCACTGGGCGCCTCAGCAGGAGACGGGGCATGGGGCGGACACGTCTTGCTCCCGGGGGAGCCTGTTCCATTTTGTGGCAAAGATTCAGTGAGCAACTGATTTTGTCCAAGGCATTTCTGCAGTAGAAAAATAACTGTCTTTGAATCAGACCACCCAACTGTGACATCTCTGGACTTACAA